TTCTGGGAGGGGGGATTGCGAGAGGTGCGCGAGGGTGTGCGTGACAGCACTGTTAGGGGTCTGTGAGAGAGGACTGTGAGGGGTCAGCGAGGGGGGCGTGAGGTGGGGCGTGGGGTCTGCGTGAGGGGGTTTGTGCGAGGACTGCGAGGTGTCTGAGGGGGCGTGAGAGGGGGGGTGTGAGGGGTGTCGGGGAGGCAGCGCGGAGGTGCCTTGGGCGGCTGGGTTGCTTACGGCGAGCGGGCGCAGCACTGGGGGAACGGGTGCTAGGCGGAGGGGGTGGTGTCCTCATGAGGTGGAGCAACTCTGGTCATAGTTGTTTAGCAGGGGAGGGGTAGAGGGGCATTACCCCTGGACCCCTGGTTAGGCCAAGGCAGTGCGCTGGCCCCGCGGGCTTGGCAAGAAGGCTGCTCTGGGTCCATGCTAGCGAGGTGGTTCTGGGTTTTATGGCGTTCTCTATGCACCAGCTTAGCTCTGATCCAGTTTCATCGTAAGAGCACATCTAAGTTACAGTCTGCGATCAGTGGGTTTGCACCTTCATTGAAGAGTGTTAGCCCTGCGTCTGGGAAGCTGTACCCACATCGTGCACGCTGCTTAAGTTCTGTAAATTCATGCAGGACCCCTAAATGCTGACATACCTCAACTGTGGAATATTCTGAAATTATACTATATAGCATACCTGCTGGTAGTTGAAAAAAACAAATTTGGCGTGAGGCTATTATGTAGGTGCCCCTAGAGTTCAGTCCTGGACCCACACAAATCTTGCTGTTCTTGATTTAATGCCTAGTGAGGACATGCCTCTCTCCGTTACAGCAGTCCTCATAAAACTGTAGTTGTAATGTGTTTTATGTAAAGTATTTGCCATTTATTTGGAGAGCCTTCAATGTGAACGTGTGGTAGAAGTTCTCACTTAGAAGTAATGGGGCTAGTTTATGAAGGAACGTGAACTCTACTGAGTAGGAGGGGAAGGGAGATAAATACATATGTGAAATAATAATATTCATGCAAAGTGGCAACGAGCTCTTCACAGTCCACTTTCATTCCACCTTTAAAGTAAAGCTCCAAGAACATGAAACAACTTGGATCGTTGAGACTTTTTTACCTGGTGGTACCAAAAAGCAGCAGCAACATCTTTATGCTTGTGGCTTTTATTGTATGAACAACAGCTGGAGAGAAAGGAAGAGAGTCGTGTCGTGAGATGTGACCTTTAGGACCATGCTAGGAGCCTGGGAAATAATACCATTTCCTTGCTGTAAGAATCTCGGCAAATTGACAAGCATCAAAGCAATTTACTCTTAATATGAAATTCACCTTTGCCCTAAGCACTTCTTTTCATATTTGAGGCTTAGTACAGATTGATTAAAGGCAAAACAGCAAAGGATTTCTGAAATGTCAGGACCTTTCTGGTGTTCATCCAACCGCACTTGTCTCGTTTTATTACTCGGCTAAGGTGCAGAGGAGGTGTCCTGGTGCTCAGGACGCTCTACGTTCGCCTCCCCTGCACCCTTCCCACCCTCCCAGTCAGTTCAGCCACACTCTATGGCAACCGCAGCTTTATTCCAGCTTGCCCAGCACCGGGGAGGGCTGTTGCCTTTGCCACCAACTCTCCGCCCCTCCTCGACTCTGGAGTCAAGGTGAGCAGAGTTAGGGGAAGGTGATGGTACTTGCTCCCCATCAGGAGGGTACTGCCTCCCAAATCACTGTGCTCCCTTCAGCCTCCCGGCACTTCTCCTCTTCTCTCTCTCGCTTGGGACCTCAGCCACCCCTGCCTGGGAGTTTTCCTTCCTATGTTACCTGCTTCCTTACAGCCACGCAAGCTACAGGCTCTGCCTGCTGCTTGGGCAGCAGTTGGAACTGGCAGCTCTCTGCTGTATTCACCTCCGTGCGGTGCTGCCTTCCAGACGATGCTCTTGCTCTGCTCCTGCCACGGCGCTGCTGAGATAACGCCTCTGACTCCCGCAGCCTACAGTCCTGACCGTACCAAAGTTAGCGGGTTGGCTTTAGGCATGTCCGTACCACGCAGCAACGCCCTACGCCTGGGGAGCACAGCTATCGGGGAGCTGTCTTCTCTTGTGTGGGTGGTTCCCAAACAGAGTCCAGCAGAGGTCCATGAAGATGATGGAGGGACTGGAGCATCTGACGTGTCAAGAGAGGCTGAGAGAGCTGGAACTGTTCAGCCTGGAGCAGAGAAGGCGCAGGGAGGAATTTCCCAATGTGTATAAATACCTGATGGGAGGGAATGAAGAGGAGGGGACAGGCTCTTCTTAGTGGTGCCTACTGACATTGCCTACAAGAGGCAATGGGCACAAATTAAAAAAAACCATTAAACTCAATCTGAATACAATAATTTTTGAATTGTTTGGTTGGTTGGTTTTTTTTTTTTACTGTGAGGGTGATCAAACACTGGAGCAGGTTGCCCAGACAGGGTATGGAGTCTCTGCAGAGATACTCAACACCTGGCTGGACATGGTCCTGGACAACCTGCTCCAGCTGACCCTACTTGAGCAGGGGGGTTGGACTAGATGATCTCCAGAGGTCACTTCCAACCCCAACCATTTTGTGATTCTGTAGCTAGCGTATCCCAGCTATGACTGAGCCTCTCATATTTCCACTTCATTCTAAACCTTACAGATTTTGGTCACACCACTAAAACCGCCTGATTTTAGTAGGGATTTGGCTTTTCATTTTTTGCAGTAAAACCTGAGTGTTGGCAGAAAGGTGTTGTTTCAGGGTCAGCCTGAAGGATGGGACTTGGCAGGAATGGGTGCAAAGAGTATACCTGTGGGACACTGACCAGAGGTATGAAGCAAGGAACCCAGGTGGAGTGCAGGGGGAGGAAAGGAAGAACTGGCTGGGTGAAGTAAAATACCCATTAACCATCACCCTAAACCGCAAACATGCAGGTCACCTCTGTCACGTTCTGCAATGACCATACGGTGAATTTAGAGGAAAACAGGCTTTTTCATCTTCCTGATTTTCACTGACAATGAAAGGTGTCTGCCCCGTGAGGCCGGTGGTTTTGGAAAGGATTGCATGCAGTGTTCAGAGGTTTCAGCATTTTGTCGACATAACGATAGCGCTGCATCCACTTGGCCAATGATCTCTCTTCACTGGAGCCCTCAGACCTTCCCAGAGAATTATTGTCTGTGAAGTTCATTAATGTGCAATTTGCTCCCTCCTCCTCCTCATTAATAACCATGTCAAATAAGAATAGTCTTAACAATCCTGTCTGTGGGGAATTTTTCTTTTAATGAGAGTGATTCAAGCTTCTTACTCAGACATAAATATGGTATCCCTTAGGTTTTCCCACATCGCTCCCAACCCCCTCCTCCGTTACTACCGCTCCATGGTTTTGTTGCTCTTTAGAGGCTTACATGTAAAATTCACATGAGCGCCCCAAAACTGAGACAGCTGCATGGCTTCTTTTTCAGCCTTTCTGAAATACTAGTTCCATTTATGTTCAGCCCCTTTCTGTCTCTATGTAATGATGACCCAGAGCATTCAAAGCACTAGATATATGTAAGTGCAAGGGGATAACCCTAAGCTAAGTTTCTCGCTGAAAAAAAAGTTAAATCAGATATCTTAGAGCTAAAACTTCATTCTAGTTCATTGGCACTGTGTTTCCAGATCTGCTGTATTCATTTGTATTAGATTCTGACAGGGCTGTTAATTTTGCCTTGGAAACACAGCCAATAATAGTTTGAAAAAATATCTTTAAAGAACTATTGAAGTTCCCACCTTCTAGGTGGGCATTTCTCACCCGTTCAAAGGGTGGCCACAGAAATCATTGATTCAGCACTTGGCACAGATGAGATCAAAAGATCTGTTCCTGATGGAGGAAGTTTCAGCTCGTCCATCAGTGGACGTCGTGAGTAAGCTGTGAAACTCCTTAGCCCAGGCTGCTGTGGATGCCAGAAGATCAAGGGGGTTCAAGTGGAGGCTGGACAAGTACACAGAAGGAAAGTCCACTGAAGTTTATCAAATGCAAAGAGGAAACACCTCTGGCTCCAAAACGTCCCTGAGACACAAATTGTTCAAAGCTGACACCTGGAGGAAATACTTACCCTCTCTTCTTATACTCTTGCCTAGGCATTGGCTTTTGGCCACAGTAGGAGATGGGATTTGGGGCGAAAAGGACATTTGCTCCCATGCTGCACAGCCACTTCTGTGATCTCACACTTCATCAGGTTCCCATCCCCTCCTGACCTCCATCCCCTTACCTCACAGGAGGTTTCCACCGCATCAGCTGAGCTGAACGCTGAATAACTGAGCTCTGACTGAGGCAGTGAGAATGGCAGCTGCGGGGAGAGGTAGTAGAAACCTCTTCCATAAAAAAATAAAAGGGTTATGGTTCATAAAACCAGTTACAATTAAACAAGCCTAGGGCTAAAGGGGGGTCCCTCCTTTAGGACAAAAATAAA